CGCCTCCCCGTCCCCACGCGGACCCCGCTGCCGCCTCGTCACCCCGCGCGGCCTGGCGCCTCGTGTTGTCACCGCCCTCGGCAGGGAGGTGCAGGCGGGACCCATGGGGTCACTACACGGTCTTATGCCCGGGGCTGCGGGGCAAGGCCTCGGCAGGCGGGGATGGGGGTCCCCGCGACTGCCCAAACCCGTCTTCCCGTCACACCTGTGCTTTCCAAACCCTGTGGCGGGGGCTCAGCAGATGTCGCTGGGGAAGCCCACGAGGGGACCCTCCCCTGCCCCCACCCCGGCCAGGGACAGCAGGGCCTCTGCAGCCGTTCATACGGGCCGTTCCAAATAGGGCTTCTGCTGTCTTCGCGAATATATTCCTTACCTAATTTTGTTAGCACTCTCCCGTCACCCTCAGTCAGTGGCCTGGCAGAGTTGAAAGCATCCTGAAAACGTCCTTCCCAAGGGTCTGGGGCGGTGGAGGCAAGTGTGGGAGCTCCACCCCCAAGAGACCTCCACCTGCACCCAGCCCCGCCCCCGCTGGCCTGCCTCCCTCCCCTCGCCCCCCTGCCCCGGAGGCATTGGCTGGGGGTCCCCTTCGAGGTTCAGGGCTGGGCCCCTCAGGGGGTGCTGGGCCACATGCTGAACCCCAGGGGCCTGTGCCCTGGCTCTCTGCAGGGGTGGAAAATGGTACCAGTCAAGCCCAAGCTGGAGGAGCCCACTGCCACAGCCCCGACATGGAGGACCCCACGCCTGAGCCCGTCTACGTGGATGTGGACAAAGGGCTGACCCTGGCCTGCTTCGTCTTCCTCTGCCTCTTCCTCGTGGTGATGATCATTCGCTGTGCCAAGGTCATCATGGACCCTTACAGCGCCATCCCCACGTCCACCTGGGAGGAGCAGCACCTGGACGACTGAGGTGCGGGCGCGGGGGGACCTCCACGTCCCCTGGCCACTGGCCCGCCCGCCCGCGGCGCTGGGAATGGATTTGGCCGCAGATGGCGGGGGTTCACCGGAGCCGCACCTGCTCCCCCTCGAGCACCACAGTGAGGTGCATGGGGGCTCCACGGTGGGCCAGCCTGGAGATGAGAGCACCGGGCTGGGGAGTCACTGTGGGACAATGGGGGATCCCCTTCCCTGGCTCCTGGGCACCTTCTGGGGTTGGGTCCAGGGCAGGCCCCCACTGTCACACAACAGAGGACACTGTCCGCCCTTAAAATGCAAAGCAGCACACACAGGAGCCCCCGTCGCTCCAGCACAGATGTGCCCCCGCCCCGGCCGGCCGCTGGGCAGCAGTGGGGCGAGGGCGAAGGCGAGGGCGAAGGCGAAGGCGGATGCAAGGGGCCTCACCCAACCTTCACGCAGGGCACAGGCCTGCTTCCCAGCAGTATTTTTTTTAAACTAAAATATAGAGGGGTTTATTTTTCCCGTCATAAATGAAATGGGCATTTTGGGAATTTGGGAACATACAGAAAAATAGAAGGGGGTGGGAAATGACACTTAGA